TATTTGATTCTAGTTAGATGGATCCTCAACTAAGCTAAGTAATTTGAGTATCCTTGGATAATTTTCTAGGACAATAGCTGTTATATGGACACAAAAGTCATTTTTTGGTATTTTTTAAAGTGGCTCTTAAACGGTTTTTTTGACGTTAAGGTTACAGAAAAACCACCGTGCGACATGTAGCGTGTGACAGTCACTTTGATGCCAATAAATAAATAACCACTCAATATTTTGCAACCAAAGCAAATACATTTGAAAGAAGAAAGAATAAGGAACACTACACACAAAAAAAAAGCACAAAAGCAAAATTGTCAATTCTACTAAGTAAATAGTTGTTCCACAACCACAGAATACACACAATTAGCAAAGACACAAACCGAAAGCGAAAACAAAATGCACGTAACTATTTTAATAGTTACGTAACTATCTTTGTTAATCAATTTTACCAAGCAAATTTTGTTGTGTGTATGAAAGCAGGAAGTCAAAAAAGTCACTTCTATTGGTGTCGCGTGCGAAAGTCTTGGTTTTTTTTATATATCTTAAAAACGAAAAATGTTCCAAAGTCAGCCCTAGCACATTTTTTAGTGCTAATCAAGACCTTTAATTTGAGCCTAGTGCCAAACAGCAGAGAATTGCCCATACACACAAAAAAAATTTGCTTGGTAAAATTGACCAACAAAGATAGTTACGGAACTATTAAAATAGTTACGTGTATTTTGTTTTTGCTTTGGGTTTGTGTCTTTGCTAATTGTGTGTATTTTGTTGTTGTGAAATGACTATTTACTTAGTAGAATTGACAATTTTGCTGGTTGGGGCCTGTTTGACAATTATTACAGTTGATTTTACTAAGTTTTTTTTGTGTGTGTATGCACTTCGACAGGATCCCGAGAAAGCATCGCCACGACAGGCGAGACAATTGTCTTGTATAAACGAAAATCGAGCATATTACTTTAGCCAATAACACCGTCGCAGACGCCCTATTCCGCATCGCAGGAATCGAGCAGATCAACATGGACGAATGCGCACGCCTACACACAAAAAAAAAACTTGGTAAAATCAACTGTAATAATTGTCAAACAGGCCCCAACCAGCAAAATTGTCAATTCTACTAAGTAAATAGTCATTTCACAACAACAAAATACACACAATTAGCAAAGACACAAACCCAAAGCAAAAACAAAATACACGTAACTATTTTGTTAGTTACGTAACTATCTTTGTTGGTCAATTTTACCAAGCAAGTTTTTTTGTGTGTACAAGAAGCGGACGGCGAGCTAAACCGACTGTTGAGAGACATCGAAACGGGCAATTCTTCGTTGCATATGCGCAAACTTCAGCAGCCTAACTCCAACATCAGCATGTATTGTGATACCTCGACATCCCGTATTCGTCCATACATTCCGCCGCCAATGCGAAGAACCATATTCAACGTACTACATGGTATGGCCCACTCTGGCAATCGTGGCACTGCAAATTGGTTACTGAACGCTTCGTGTGGCCCAGCATCAACAAAGACATCGCCTCATGGTCATCGTCCTGCCGTCAGTGCCCGCGATGCAAAATACACCGCTACAACAGAACCGTCCGTGCCCGATTCCAACACATCAATATAGACTTGATCGGCCCCCTACCACCGTCCAATGGCTACCGCTTGACGGTCATCGACCGATTCAGCAGATGGCCAGCTGTATTACCAGTGACTGAGATTACTGCTGAAGAGGTGGCACTCGCACTCCTGCACGGATGGATCGCACATTATGGAGTGCCGGTGAGAGTCACGACCGACCAAGGACGACAGTTTAAATCTGTCCTCTTCAAAGAGCTGTCGCGAATCCTAGGCGCAAAATTGAGCAGAACCACACCATACCACCCGCAGTCGTATGGCATAATTGAGCGCAGCATTGAAATGTCACAATACCACCGACTGGTATAAACGCATTCCCATCGTCTTGCTTGCACTACGAGCGACACTCAAAACAGACATCAACGCATCACCCGCCGAAATGCTGTATGGCACTACCATAGGCCCGCCTGGTGACCTCTTCAAATTAGCCCGGATTGAAGATTGCAATTCCGACTTCGTAAGGAACCTGCCGAACATCACGACGCAGCTCCAGCCACTGCAAACCTCAGACCACGCTACAACAAGAACTTCATTCATCCACATGCATCTGCAGACGAGCTCACATGTCTTCATCAGAGACGACACCGTACGTTCCCCGTTAAAATCGCCGTACGATGGACCATATCCTGTCCTACACCGAGAGGACAAATTTTAGAAGTGAAAGGCAAACGACTAAAAGTCAGCATCGATCGACTTAAGCCAGCACACCTGCCTGACGACCTGGCCATCGGGGAGGATGCATCGAATCAACCGACGACACCAGCGGCATCTCCTAACAACGACGACAACGCGAGGAGGACGGCATGTGCGGCTACCGTCTCGCTTTCAAAGCCAGTGATCATCTTCTTGATCCAGCAATCAGCCATGCTGATTTCTGTGGGGAGTAATGTGGGGGACTTCCTTACGCGTTCCAACTACATGTTATCGTCTCTCGGTGAATACCAAAACAGCTGATCTGCGCAGGTAATGGCACTTATCGTTAGATAAAGCTTCTTCTTAAGATCTCATCCCTAGCGCTCGGACTTCGGAACGAGCCTCGACGAGTAGCGCAATCTGCTAATATTCATAATCATTATAATCAAGCACCATCAGTGAATAAATGATTAGCGTGATACAGAACTCCCACAAGTGTTTCAACTTACACCCCTCTTTTTCAAAATGTCGTTTTTGGAAATTTAAAAAAAAAACAAGAGAGAACGCTATAGTCGGGTTGTTGTCCCGACTATCTAATACCCGTCACTCGGCTAAAGGGAGTGCGAATGTATACCATTTTTTTGATTGCGTACAACTTTTTATTGAATGGTCCGATTTGAAAAATGTCTTCTACATTTCGATAGGTATAAGTATACACAACAAAATTGCATTTATACTTCTCGGAAATCTTTAAAGGTGTAGGCGCCAGACACATTTTAAAATTGTTAGTGGGCGATTGTGGGCGTTAGAGGGAGCGTGGCGCTCGGCTGAAATAAACTTGCGCTGCGTAGGAAGCCCAAGAATATGTGTGGGAAATCTCACAGCTTGCTAGCTTTTGTAGTTTCTAAGATCTCAGCGTTCATACGGACGGACAGACGGACGGACAGACGGACGGACAGACGGACATGGCTATATCGACTCGGCTAATGATCCTGATCAAGAATATATATACTTTATAGGGTCGGAAACGCTTCCTTCTCCCTGTTACATACTTTTGCAAAGGGGTCGTAAATAAGAGTTAACCTATTCAAAACAAGAAAGGAAGCTAGCTTCGGCAAGTCGAAGCTTACATACCCTCATTCTATTAATTTATAAATCGTTAAAACGTAAAATTTCCTATTATTTCACATCAATTTTTCGATCGTTTCTATGGCAGCTATATGTTATAGTAGTTCGATCTTTTTAAAATTAAAATCGAAATTCGGAAATATTTAAAATAATCATATCCCAGAGTAGAAGAGAATGTAATAAAATTCAACAAAGATATAATTTTTTTCTTATTAATTTCCATTTAATTTTTCGGCCATTTTTATGGCAGCTGTATGATATAGTGATCCGATTTTTTAAATATTTAATTTGAAATTCAAAAATATATAAAAAATAATATTCTTAAGAGTAGAAGGTAATATTTGAAGAACACCGAAGCTAGAATTTTTTTAACGTTTCCTTCCTATGGGAGCTATAAGATATAGTTGTCCGATCCGGTCGGTTCCGACATATATACTACCTGCAATAGAAAGAAGACTTTTGGGAGAGTCATAAAAACATATACATTATAAAAAAAATTCTGGGGACATATGGCATATCAACAGAAAGGTATTCAAGCGTAGATTTTATAGATATAAATTTTAAACCAATGCACACCTCAGTTCAAGTTCAATTCAATCTTTATTTTCAATTTTTATTATAAAAGTGTACAAATAACTCTTATTTGTTGATTTTTATGATAAAAATTGAAGCGAATGAGTTATTTGTCAACTTTTATAATATTATAATATATATAATATATATGTCAATTTTTTTGAATAGGTTAACTCTTACTTACGATCCCTGCTTTTGCACGAATACAATATACCGTAACGGGTATAAATATTGTTTAGTTTTCACTAAGGCAACAAAACATTTATTTGGGGTACTTTAAATCTAAACAAGAAAGGAAGCTACCTTCGGCCAGCCGAAGCTTATATACCCTTGTAGATAAAAGAATACTCACTCGGTGCAGTTCCAGGGATTCCAGATTCAGCGTTTCGATTTATTTCAATTTTGTTTTAAGGTAGTCAAGAATCAAAACGCCTACTTCCTACAAAGTTACAATGAATTTTCTTATATTTGTTTGGGAGCCTTAAGATATAGTGGTCCGATCCGGCTGGCTCCGACATATGTACTACCTGCAATAGAAAGAAGACCTTCGGGAAAGTTTCATCGCGATAGCTTTAAAACTGAGAGACTAGTTCGCATAGAAACGGACAGACGGACAGACGGACAGACGGACAGACGGACAGACGGACATGGCTAGATAGACTCGGCTATTGGTGCTGATCAAGAATATATATACTTTATGTGGTCGGAAACGTCTCCTTCACTGCGTTGCAAACATCTGACTGAAATTATAATACCCTCTACAAGGGTATAAAAAATCTAGGCTTTGGATCGGCACCTAACTCGTGAAGTTTCATAAGCTTATAATCAAATGGCAGATCAAAATCAAAAGGTTTACCAACCTACAGACCCCTCCCCTAAGCTTATAATATCATTTAATATATCAAATTTGGACCTAAAACCCTTCGTAAACCATTAACTGTTTATAAAATAAATAAATAAAACGTATAAGATATTTTGTTAGGTTATTAAGTAGTTGTGTTTTATTTAATTTGGTTTTCATTTTCCACTTAAACATCCCACGCAGGTTAAACCATCGGAATCTAAATTCTTTTCTGTAGACTTCATTGAGCATGGACATGGTTTAAGCAAATATCGTTTGCGATTCTTTGAGGACTTTCCGCTGGATGAGCATTTTTACATTCTAGTCATATCACCGGATACGGAACAGAGCATCGAGGTGAGTTTTGTCTAAAATTTGTATTTACTGGCAGTGACGTTACTGACCATTTGAGGCTTTTTATGTAAATACGATGTAGGTGCTAAAAAATATTTTATTTTTGAAAATTAAGGTTTTTTTTCCAATTTACCAATATTTATGGATGAATACCGTCAATAGTCGGGGCAAAGAGAATATAAACACTAAGAGGTGTAACGCCCATACAACTGAATGTACGGCAAAATTTTTGGTGTGGATTCAGAAAGTGGATTTAGAATTTTCCTAGTGTGCGTTGTCCGTGTTAGATTCTTTGGTTGTGTTAGTGTGCAATTTCGTTTGCTCTGCTGCGAAAAAGGGTCAATCACGCATGTGTCTGACGTCTCGAAATAAGGCACTGTGGGCTAGGGGTGTAGTCGCTCAACTGCGGATCTTGTCGGACCGAGATCAACTCCGATTGAAAACAAACTTTTTTTTAAAGTAATTTTTTTTTTTTAAACATTGTTCATTTAATATAAATTTTTAAAATTGAAAGAAATTTAAAGACCATTAAAGGATTGAATGATTTCGGTGTAAATTATTTCTTTCTAGGGATTGTGTGCTTGCTTTTTTGTTTAAAAAATAAAATTATTGTTATTTTTAGTCCCTGAATTGCATTTAAATTGTATACTTCAATAAAAATTAAAAATTAAATAAAATTATAAAAGTAAACTCGGATGCGTATTTCATAAACTTGTAATTCAAAAGTAATGAATTTAAAATATTTGCTTAAAATGCTTCTGCTTTTAAAAAAACACAAAAAAAAAAAAAAATTTTTAAAAAACAAACCAAAAAAAAAAAAAAAAACAAAGTAAAATAAAAAAAATTAACATAAAAATAAAACCACTTCGCCTCAGAGTGGACTTGAACCTCAATCGCATTATTCGCGGGCCACCAACTAACGCAATGCGCCACAGCCCTTTTTGAAATGCTGTGCGCAATGTGCCTTTTAGGACGATTCCTTTTCGGGAACATAATTCAAGAATCAACAAATGAGACAAAAATTGAATTTCGACTTTTCTGCAGCGCGGAGTTTTGAGAGCGAGAGAGCAAGTGAGCGAGAGAGAGAAGTCAAGAAACGGCATTCTAAAAATAGACTGAATACGTGTGAGTCGCAGTTGACAAAAATGACGCTGCCTCCGTACATTTTCTTGCTCCTCGTTACACATCTTAGGGCCGTTTTCTCGTCCGTACTTTAGTTGCCTGCCGGGACAACGGAGCGATAAACAAAAAATGGTTTACTCGTCCTTATGTTAGCGCAGGTAGGGACAAATTTTGTCTCGGTACTTCATCCAACGTGCAAAATTTCTGCGGTTGGATTGTGCGCAAGTGTTGCCAGACATTTGAGCGTTGTCAATCTGGTTCCACTCTTCATTCGAAAACAGGTGATTCTATTTACAGTTAAATACAAATCAAAATTGTTAATGTCATCCAATTGATTTTAAAATGAATTCCCGTGCGATTTATCTTCAAACTCTGTGGGATATCGTCGAATTGTCTGATCGGCGCAGATATCACGACCAAAGAAATTACTTCGAACATTACAGTGATGAAGAATTTGTTAAAAGGGTTCTCTTAAGAAAAAGCGTTGAAATTTGTTTTACAAAAAAATGTTTTGTGACTTGAATTTAAAGTGAAGCAGTAAGTGCATTCATTTGATTTAACTAATTCCATATAATCACAAACCATTATTATCGGGAAACGATAATACATGGGCTAAGCTTCTAATAGCTCTTAGATTCTACGCAAGCGGCAGTTTTCTTATAACTGTAGGCAATTTTTGTGGTGTTAGCGTGGCCACTGCCAGTCGAGTTGTTAAGGGCGTTAATTTTGCTATAGCGTCTTTTTCAAAACAATTTATGAAGTACCGGCGTATTAAAGATCTTCAAGAAAATGTTATTGATTTTTATAAAATAGCCAAGTTTCCGAAAGTCCAAGATAGGAGCCATAGATTGCACGCATGTAAGAACTCAATCTCCCGAAGGCGATTCCGAAGACACCGGTTCTACAAGAATTGTGCCCTGTTCGTCGGTATAATTTTTACCGCGAAACTTTCTTTCTGCCGACATTGTTTTTTATTAGTTTGAAATTTTGTTTATATCATTAGCTGTTAGTATGACTGTTTTATGGTATTTTTCGATAGTTTTTCGATTAATTTTTGACAATTAGTTAACTCTTCTGTTGTGGGGCTGCCACCCAGTCTCAAAATAGTGCGCCTTTTATTTTGAGTTTTAAATGACGGACGAGAAAACGAAAACCGATTTGCTACCGGGATAAATTTATCCTTCTATTAGCTAAATTTTACTTTGCAGGACGGACGAGAAAACGGCCTTAGTGTTTATAATATCTTTGGTCGGGGCGTGGCCCTCGGCTGAGATAAATTTGCGCCACATGCCCAAAAAGATTTTGACCGCAAGATCCAAAAAGGAGACAATAATATTTTGTCCGTCTTTTCCTGTTTTTAATTATATATTGCGATGTGTTTGGATGATATATGTTTTAATTTACAATTATTATATAAGGCTTATTTTATGTGAATCGTGACAGGCAAATTAGGGTAAAATCTCAGAAAACATCCACATCTTTTTTCGATAGATTATTGAAATATAACGACCCATTTTTTTTAATCTCTTACCGTTTAGTTTTTAAAAATCTTTAAACTTTGTGGGATATCTCAATATTTTTTAGAAAAATATTTTAAAAAATTTTTAAATTTTAAACTAAACTAATTTAAACTATTTTAAAGGAATTTAAAATGAAAAAAAATTCTGTACTCCGGAATATACGCGGCTTTTTTTTTTTTTTTAAAAAAGCTATTGCGTTGAAACTTTATTTATTTATTTTGTTTATTTATTGTATCCTAGCGTTATAAGTTTTTGAAACTTATGAATTAATACGCTAGTCACTACCAATAAAAAAAAGTCACTCCGAATAAAAAAACAAGAAAGAACGCTATAGCCGGGTGCCCCAACTATTAGATTCCCGTTACTCAGCGAAGGGAGTGCGAGGGAGTTGGATATATAACATTTTCATCGCGCATAACTTTTTAACGAATTGTCCGATTTGAAAAATTTCTTTAACATTTTGATAGGTATTTATAAGCACAATAAAACTGAATTTTTACGATTCCAAAATCTTTAAAGGTGTGGGCGACAGATATGTCGTCACCGCTACCTCACCAGACGGAAAAGAGGATGTGAGCTGAGCTTCAAAACTTCTCTAGACAGCAAATCTAGGAATATGTAATTAAAACCTACATACTTCTAGTATTGTAACATAATTCAAAGCTTCGTCGCTTAAACTTCTTATGTGTGTGAAAGTTATAATGGTTGTCCGGTTGGAAATAACCTGCTTTCCTTGCACTCGCTGGGGAGTGAGCCTCGGACTTTCCGGGACTTACGAATTCCGGTAGGGCGTTACCGCTACCTCATCAGCCGGATTTTTTGGTTATTTGGTTATAATTTTTGTTTAAAGTGTATTCCAGTACCTTAATTTACAACAAGCAAGAAATTTTTAAATCCCAAAAAAAATTAATTCAGTTTTTAGCCCGATATTTTTGTGGAAAAAATAATAGAAATGTTCGCAAATTATAACAAAATTTTGGCTTATTCCCGTTAAAATCGCAAGTAAAGGTGTTGTGCTGGTGTTTTATGATACATTTAAGAAAAAATGTACGAATTTGGCTGGCCATCTTGTTCCCAACAACGCATTTAGGTAGTTTACAGTTACCATTCTGTTTATACCCGTTACTCGTACAGTAAAAGGGTATATTGTATTCGTGTAAAAGTATGTAACAGCTAGAAGGAAGTGTTTCCGACCCCTTAAGGTATATATATTTTTGATCAGGGTCACTAGCCGTGTCGATCTAGCCATGTCCGTCTGTCTGTCTGTCCATCTGTCTGTCCGTATGAACGCTAAGATCTCGGAAACTACAAAAGCTAGAAGGTTAAGATTTCCCACACATATTCTTGGACTTCCTACTCAGCACAAGTTTATTTCAGCCAAGCGCCACGCCGTCTCTAACGCCCACAACTGCCCACTAACGATTTTAAAATGTGTCTGCCGCCCACACCTTTAAAGATTTCTGTTGGAGGTTAAATCGCTCAGTGAAATACTAGCCCGTGAAAACCAAGTAAATGTGAACCACTTCGTGTTGATGTTCATAAGCGAATGTTTTATTAAGAGGTAGAGAGAATACCATAAGTTAGGCAGTGTTGCCGTACATATAATGTTTAGCTAGTATTGCCAAATCAACACTCCTCTTCAAGTAATCTAGTACATTTCATATGATTTATCTTTTGCAAATCCTTTGTAAGTGTATCTGCTACCATTTCATTTGTTGGACAGTATTTCAAATCAATAAGTTCTTCTTCATAGCATTTCCTAATGTGATGGTACTTAATATATATGTGTTTGCTTCTTTCATGCAAGAAACTAGATTTTTTACAAGATTAATTGCGCTTAAATTGTCGCCATGTATTAATACAGGTTGAAAACCAAAAAAACAGTTTCATTTCATTGATAAGTTTACTTATATAAATTGCTTCTTTTGTGGTCTCCGACCTCGCCACATATTCTGCTTCTGTACTGCTTAGTGCGATAGATTTCTGCTTCTTTGATGTCCAAGAAAAGGCAGAACCACCCCACATAAATGTATAGCCCAGTCGGCATCTGAGTAACCACAAATATCCAGATCCGTCTTCAAATATTTTATCCTCAGGTCAACCGTTGTTTGTAAATAGCGTAAGATATGCTTGACAGCTGATAAATGCTCACTGTGAGTGTTGACATTTCTCTGCGACATTTTGCAGACGGAGTGTAAAATATCCGGGCGTGATGACAGGGCAATATACATCAGTGAGCCTATTATTGATTGATATTCCTTCACGTCAACACGCCTGCACCTTTCGCTGACGCAATCAACTTGCAAGTTTGGTTCCAACGGTGCCAAACTCCTTTAAAAGGCTCTTGATGTGTTTTCGTTG